AGTGCAGAAAAGATTAACCAAGATGATTAGGGGATTGGAGGCTAAAACATACAATGGATGATTGCAGGAACTGGGCATGGCTAGTCTAGTGAAGAGAAAGACCAGAGGCGACATGTTAACTGTTCCAATATTTGAGAGGCTGCCACAGAGAGGAAGGGGTCAAGCTATTTTCCAAAGCACCTGAAGTCCAAACAAGGAATAATGGATGGAAACTGAACAAGGAACCAGTGGAACAGCTTGCCTTCAGAAGTTGTGGGAGCATCATCACTGGAAGTTTTCGAGACCGGACTGCCATCTGTCAAAAATGGTGCAGGGTCTGCTTGGGTGGGTGGTTGGACTACTAGATGACCTGTCAAACTCCCGATCCATGAGCTTGATCATGGATCATGATCATGGATCATGAGCTTGATTGGGGGCGTGCATAAGCGCACCAACGTGCCTACCGTCCCTGTCCTATTGTTTCTCTTATTCTTTTATTTTTCTTATATGTACCCATTTCATGTATTCACAACTATGTATACATTTATACTTATTATCTTGTAAACAATTGGCAAATCAAATAAATAAATAAATAAATAAATCACACACCAGCCATGCCGACGCCCGGTTTAGCAAAGGGGAAAAACGTCCCAATATATCACTGATGTCGTGATGTGAGTTTGACATCCCTGACCTGCAAGGTCAGATTATCCTCCAACTCGGTTAATCTGTATCTGTATCTAATTTAGAAAAGAAATTGAGTGACCTGTTGTGAGCATGAACAGATGAGTATATTAAGGGTTTGGGAGATGTAGGTTTGTTCTTCCACTGGCATTAGCCAGCCTCTACCTCTGCCATTTCTCCCACAGGGTTTTTCAGCTCCATTAACACTTTGGGAACTTCCTTATATCCGCTTACTACAGCACAAAGATGCACTAAAAATAATTTTTAGAAGACATGATATGATTTTTGGCTTATCCCTGTCTATACTTATATTTCACTCTTCTGGTGTATAATATATGCAGTACTTTTCTTCTATAGTGAAATTTATATTATTAGGGGACTGGAGACTAAAACATACAATTAAGGGGTATGTCTAGTCTAGTAGAGATGAACTAGGGGTGATATGATGGCAGTCTTCCAATATTTGAAGGGCTGTCACAGACAGGAGGGAGTCAAACTATTCTCCAAAGCACCTGAAGGCAGGACAAGAAGCAATGGATGGAAATTAATCAAGGAGAGAAGCAACCTGGAATTAAGGAGAAATTTCCAAACAGCAATGACATTTAATCAGTGGAATGGCTTGCCTTCAGAAGTTGTGTGTGCTCCACCACTGGAGGTATTGAAGAAGATCCCTTCCAACTTGGTTATTCTGTAATTCTGATTAGAATCAACCAGAGTTTCTTTGCTTATCACATAGCAATAGCACTTAGACTTATATACCGCTTCACAGTGCTTTCCAGCCCTCTCTAAGCAGTTTACAGAGTCAGCTTATTGCCCTCAACAACCTGGGTCCTCATTTTACCAACCTCAGAGGGATGGAAGGCTGAGTCAAGTGAGAACTGAGTCAACTGAGCTGGTGAGAATTGAACTCCTGGAGTAAGCAATGAGTTGGCCCTGCAGTACTGCATTCTAACCACTGTGCCACTACGGCTCCTCACATACTGCACATATAGGTCCTTCAGATAATTAATTACTCATGCCCTGGTCACCTTAAGCCTGAATGTTTGCAATGTACTCTAAATAGGATTGTTCTTAAAGACCCTTCAGAAGCTACAGCTGGTACAAAACGCAGTGGTATGCGTAATAATGGGTACCTCCCAGTATGCCTATGTGACACCACTATTATTCCATTAGTTGGAAGTGGCATTCCAGATATAATTCAGGGTGCTGATCTTTACCTATAGAGCCCTTTATGGCATAGGGCTTGGAAACTTGATTATTACAGTTATGACATTTTTACTCTGGGTTGCCCATGAGCTTGTTGTTTTAAACTGCTTTCGTTGCTTTGTATTTATATTTGTAATACTAATTGGGGCTGGGTGGCTATAATACATTTAAACTACAGACTCAATAGCTGGATAAAAGTGTCAAATCCGGTCTAAAATCCAGATGACTGTGTGGCCAACTTTGATATACAATCAGGATGGCATCATCTGTCAGAGAATCAAAACAGATGTAATACAGGCAAAATCAGAAATCAGCAAAGGGCAGCAAATTTCATGTTAATGTAAATGCTGCTCATGGGTGCATGTAGCAGTTTGGTTCGACACTGGAGAAAGATCCAAATACTCAGTGCAGTCCAAGTCAACTGGTTTTGAAAATATTATGTGGGGGGAGCAGGAATGGTGGAAGGAAGTATGTTGATTAAGGATACTTATTCTTCCTCACTGGCACAGTAACAATGCAGGGTCATTCACACATGCAGCTTCTGCGACTTGGTGCTTTGCATACATGTTAAACTGTGCCTCCCACTGTTTGAAGCTGGCATGTCCAATGGTCACGACAGCTGGGAAAACAGGAACAGCAGTTCAATTCAATCTAAGGCACCAGGCCAGAAAGAACTGTCCAGGCAAAATACTGAACAATATTTTTGTGCAATTTGCTGCACTGGCATATAATAATCCATTCCTTGAGCTTTAGCTGGCCAACAGTTCTGATTACTTTTAAAAGGGACATTGTGATCTATCATTTTTAATTAAGATTCTGTATGCTACATAAAAACACAAGTTTAGAAGCAAGGATATCTTGAATAGATCCGGAGAACTTTCCACCAATGTATCTGGAAGAGATAAGCCCAACTGGCTAGTTAGCTCATATGAATATTGTTATGTTAGTTGCTTTCCACACTTTCAATAATAAGACCATTTAAAATACACTGCTCAAAAAAATAAAGGGAACACAAAAATAAGACATCCTAGATCTGAATGAATGAAATATTATTAAATATGTTGTTCATTACATAGTTGAATGTGCTGACAACAAAATCACACAAAAATTATAAATGGAAATCAAATTTAGCAATCCATGGAGGTCTGGATTTGGAGTGACACTCAAAATTAAAGTGGAAAAAAACACTACAGGCTGATCTAACTTTGATGTAATGTGCTTAAACCAAGTCAAAATGAGGCTCAGTAGTGTGTGTGGCCTCCACGTGCCTGTATGACCTCCCTACAATGCCTGGGCATGCTCCTGATGAGGTGGCGGATGGTCTCCTGAGGGATCTCCTCCCACACCTGGATTAAAGCATCCCCCAACTCCTGGACAGTCTGTGGTGCAACGTGGCATTGGTGGATGGAGCGAGACATGATGTCCCAGATGTGCTCAATTGGATTCAGGTCTGGGGAACAGGCAGGCCAGTCCATAGCATCAATGCCTTCATCTTGCAGGAACTGCTGACAGACTCCAGCCACATGAGGTCTAGCATTGTCTTGCATTAGGACGAACCCAGGGCCAACCGCACCAGCATATGGTCTCACAAGGGGTCTGAAGATCTCATCTCGGTACCTAATGGCAGTCAGGCTACCTCTGGTGAGCACATGGAGGGCTGTGTGGCCCCCTAAAGAAATGCCACCCTACACCATTACTGATCCAATGCCAAACCGGTCATGCTGGAGGATGTTGCAGGCAGCAGAACGTTCTCCACGGCGTCTCCAGACTCTGTCACGTCTGTCACATGTGCTCAGTGTGAACCTGCTTTCATCTGTGAAGAGCACAGGACGCCAGTGGTGAATTTGCCAATGTTGGTGTTCTCTGGCAAATGCCAAATGTCCTGCACGGTGTTGGGCTGTAAGCACAACCCCCACCTGTGGACGTCGGGCCCTCATACCACCCTCATGGAGTCTGTTTCTGACCGTTTGAGCAGCCACATGCACATTTGTGGCCCGCTGGAGGTCATTTTGCAGGACTCTGGCAGTGCTCCTCCTGTCCCTCCTTGCACAAAGGCGGAGGTAGCGGTCCTGATGCTGGGTTGTTGCCCTCCTATGGCCTCCTCCATGTCTCCTGATGTACTGGACTGTCTCCTGGTAGCGCCTCCATGCTCTGGACACTACGCTGACACACACAGCAAACCTTCTTGCCACAGCTCGCATTGATGTGCCATCTGGATGAGCTGCACTACCTGAGCCACTTGTGTGGGTTGTAGACTCCGTCTCATGCTACCACTAGATTGAAGCACCACCAACATTCAAAAGTGACCAAACCATCAGCCAGAAAGCATAGGAAGTGAGAAGTGGTCTGTGGTCACCACCTGCAGAACCACTCCTTTATTGGGGATGTCTTGCTAACTGCCTATGCTTTCCACCTGTTGTCTATTCCATTTGCACAACAGCATGTGAAATTGATTGTCAATCAGTGTTGCTACCTAAGTGGACAGTTTGATTTCACAGAAGTGTGATTGACTTGGAGTTCCATTGTGTTGTTTAAGTGTTCCCTTTATTTTTTTTGAGCAGTGTATTTTGTTTCTCCTTTTCCAGTGGATCCATTTCAAGCTACTGTAGTCATTTGGGAACTCTCAGATTCGGGCCAATCTAAAAGGAAGGATATCCAAAGTTTCAACTATTTGGAAGGAAAAATTCAAAATTTGAATTTCTGATACCCAAGAATGAGAGGACTGAATGGCAAAACAGGTTCTTCCATAGCTTAAAATATGCATTAAAAAAAAAATCAGCGGTCTTTTAACACTAGTCGATGCTGTATTTTAGTCTCTTGGAGTTTTTATTGTCAGTTCTATCAATTCTATGCAAAATATATGAACGGAATTATTTTTCTCTCTTAAACATGCGTAAATTCCCCACCTTTACACCAACCTGGTTATTTCTCTGATGCTCTCGTGTTCTTTACGCAGCTGAAACCAATCGCTCTCTCTCGCTCTCTTTTTCTCCCCCCTCCCCCCGACGTTACTTGGGTTCTTTCTCTTGAACACCGTTTGATTTTCCCAGAGTCGATTTAAAAAAAAATATTCTGTAACATTTTTCTTCTCAAAGTTTCCGCCCACGTGACTTTCAGTTAAGTCCCTTGAGGCTTCCGAGAATCCACAGTAGCTAAAGGGAGGCGAAGAGCCGCGCGAGATGCATTGCTCTGAAGGGGAAGGGGACGGGGACGTCGCTGCGGACAGGCGCGGCGGGAGAAGGGGGAGAAAGTAACTGGCCGGCTCAGAGGACGGGGAAGAAAAGGAGCGAAAGTGTCCAGTTTAAAGGGAAAGGCCGTCTAAGACCGCGAAGGCCTGAAGGAAGAAGGAGTCGACAAGCAGGGGGTGCTGTGAGCCATGCCCCATAGCTCCGACAGCAGTGACTCCAGCAGCTTCAGCCAGTCCTCTTCATCCAGCAAACAGGTACTGTGTGGGGGCCAGTTTCTGTCGATTGAATGGTACGCCTAAACGGCGGTTTATTGCGAGCAACGTTGCACTACCCGGGTTCAATCTAGTGGAAATCCAACAGGTGAAGTTTGCTGAGGCATTAAAAATCAAGAGTTGAGGAACTGTTCCCCAACTGCGCGTCTCCCTTTTGAATCAAATTGACCCCTCAGATTCAAGGGAAGGCGTAAGTTAAAGAGGGACTATAGTCCCCAGATTACAACCACCTATCAACTACAATTCTGGGATTTGTGTCTAGCATCGGTGGAGGGCTGCTGACTGGGGAAGGCTAGTCTAATGGCTGAGGGGTTTTGCACTAGAATTGTTTAATTCTACCAAGAAAATCTCGTCCTCCTGTCCAAAATCATCTCCTGTAATGAGGAAAGTTCTGGGTGATCCAGTTTTTCTGCAAAAGGCTAGGGGCTGATTGATACATTAAAAAGTGTTAAGGTTGGGCGTTTTCTCTACTGAGAGATGTGATAAATTTTCAAATATTAAAGTATCAACATTTTGCCTTCTTAGGAATGGGGTCCTGAACTTGAAAAAAAAAAAAACTTCAGCTGTGTGCAAAATGCTCTTAGGTTTACACTTTAAAGAGGGAGGAAGAAAATTCTAGAGAACTATACAGCTAGATGCCATCAATGAGAGACAATAAAATTATATCACCATAAGGATTTTTTTTTAAACATAGGGTAGAAATTTTGGATTATTACATCAAACCCAATGCAATGTATACCCATTATGCTATTCTCCTTAAGGAAGCAAAGTTCTGCAGAGTGGAGAAAAAAGTAAGAAATAGAAAGTTAAAGACATTAAAGGCAAAAGGATATGGATAGGTAATAAAAATGAAAAGCTAAAACTAGTTTATATAAACATTACTATGCTTTTCAATATCCTTGCAAACCTTCCTTGATTCACCAGGCCCGAATACTGCTTTCTACCTTGCCTTTTGCTCTTTAAGTTTTTAAGCTACTCATTTCTTTTTATTCAAGGATCTCATCTCTGTTCAACCAGTACTTTTTGGACTGTTTAATATCCATTCATTAATTCATCACATAATCTGTTCTTCTTTTACTGCCCACATTTCTTATATATTCCTTTCCTATTGCATTCAATTTACTTTTGTTTTTCTTTTAAGATACCCAACTTTTACTTTCATAAACAAAGAGGCAAAACACATTTTATATACAGCCATTTTTTCATGCCCCCCCCCCCAATATTTATAACAGATCATGTACTGTCTAATTTCTTGCCATTTGCACATTTTTCAAATTTTTCCACAACTATTTTCCCAATATTTTTTTAATCTACTACAGTACTGTATAGAAATTGATTTACTTGCTTTAGGTTTTTTTTTTTTTACAATTTTTTTATAATATGCAGTCATTCATTCTATTTTCCCTATCAAACACAATTAATTTGATACAGTAATTTTCAGCTCATTGCAGTCTATTGGCTGCAATAATTTGGGTTTACTAGCAACAACAGTCTGATTTGCATACAAAAGTACATACAAAATACACATTCACATTTCCCACTAGCACAGCACTAAAATCATCAGACATTCCTTCACTGATTGATTATGTGCCATCGAGTTGGTTCAAATCTTAGCAACCATGTTAGCTAGAGTTTCTCCAGGATGACCTGTCCCCTTTCTGGTCTTTAAGGGCTTTCAGTGGTGCACCCAACCATCCTACATTCCTAGTGCATACATTTCAAAGGCAGTAGTTTGGAAAAATATATTTGCATTTCAGGACTCTTCTGATGAAATGAGGAAAGTGCAAAGAAGAGAAAAGAATCGCATTGCAGCTCAGAAGAGTCGGCAGAGACAGACCCAGAAAGCAGATCACCTGCACTTGGTAAATGCTTCTGTCCTCCTCATCTGGATTTCTGGGATACTCATTATTAATATTAGTATCTCCATTTAAATCTTGCTTTTCTAGCCAGAAGGTAGACAGTGCACAATGTAATATTATGTAATATAATATAAGGTATGATATATAATATATTATAATAAATTACTATACTAAATATATAATATAATAATATAGTCTGACTTAGGCCTATCGCAATACTTTAAAGAATTGTTTGAGCTATAAAACTGTGAAACCGCAGTAGTTTATCCAACGGTTTGCATGGCTGCATTGAGGCAAACCTAAGGTCTCTTGAGCAGCACCTGGGTATTGTATCAACTGCTCAGAGTCTTTGGGAACAGGTAATGTTCAATGAAGGAAATATATATAAAAATGTGGAGAAAGGTGCTAAATTTGATGATAGGGTTGGGGGGGTTGGGAATAGTTTTAAGGCTGGAAATGATAATTTCCCTCCCTGGAATTTCTCATTACCATCTTTAAAATACCCAAATGCCCAAAATGGCCATTGAGGTTTTGTTTGTTTGTTTGTTTATTGAAAATGGATATAATTTGCCCATTCCCAATTTTAAATCTTCTTAAATACAAATATGTAGATTAAAAACCCTCACTCTTCTCAGATGACATCATTTCCTTAGAAGCCCTTCTGTAGCCTCCTGTTAAGTCAAATAGCTCAATCTTGTGGCATTCTGGGGGTCCTAAATGATAACTTCTTGAGCTTTTCTCATATTTTCTTTTATATTTATCCTTATGAGAAATGGGTCTTGAGATTTATCAGGAGCCCTAAAAAGCACCAATATCCTCCTACTTCACCTACCCCAAATTGTTTCCATATCTGGTCAGCTATTGGAGTGCTGTTTGGTTAACAGGTAATCTATGTCTAAATTTGATGATTATCTTTTTATACTAATATTATTAAACTTATTTAAAGTGCACATAAGAAAAAAATAGTAGTAAAGAAAAAGAAAAGAGTTATATAAAAATGACTTCTCCCTTGATCATACAGTATATAAATAGTTTTAATAATTTATTACCTACCAACAATGGTAGGTTAGTGATCCTTTTCCCCCCATATCCCATCTTTTTATTTATAAACAAATCCTTAAAACCTCATTGTTTCAGCCCTGATCCGCAAAGGTCCATTAAGGATTACCAGAGATAGCAACATACCTATTTTAACCTTGATCAAATAAACCAAATTATATTCATTCATTTTAACAATCTTGAAATATATTTTACATATGTAGGATAATCACTGAATCTCATTAAGAGGTTGGGTCTTTCGTTCCATGTTATGCTGTACACGTGGAAAGATAATGAAGTTGGGCATCATGGCGTAGGTTGAAATATTATCGGTAAATGCCAGCCCTATTTTTTGTTACTTGAGTTTCCCAGAAAGCCAGAGAAACAGAGTAGTGCATAGCATGCCTTTCATTCCTAAATTTCTGGAGATCGCATAAAACCTGAATGCTATTGTCTAGTTTGCATAAATAGCAATTGGATTGCCAATTCTTCTTTGGCTGACCATTTCAAGTATTAAATGACCATTGTGACTGTATGCAGCCATCTCTGCATTAAAAGAAATCCCTCTTGCACATAAAAAGCGTGATCGCATGGGAAGGTTCTCCATCCTGTTCTCTCTCTTATATGATAGCTTTGAGTGTGGACGGCTTTTTTTTTACTCTGAGAAAGAATTTGGCCATATGACTCTTCACAACAATGTGAGGTGATTTACTTAAGAATTGTTTTAATCTGTCATATATGCTTGCTTTTGGCTGAATCCAACTTGCAAGCTCATCTTGCAGCAAAGTTTTACATGTTTGTAAATAATTTCAATTTTTGTGGTTTCACTTCAAAGGGGGCAGGGGATAATTGCTGTGGTTTCTCTTCAAAGGGGGCAGGGGATAATTACCACATGTGGTGCAGCCCTTATCTGAGCGCCATGAGCTTGCTTGAAAATTTGGCAGCTTGACCTTCCTCAATCTAAACAAATAACAACTGTAAACATCTCTCTTGCACATAAAGACACATCCTCACACACAAAGGCTTCAGAGATAGTCATTTGAGGAAAGACCTGTGTTATAGTGTCCTGGCCATCTTTACTCTCTAAAAGCCGCCTTGCTTTTGAGCGAGGCCTTGGGGAGAACAGGCATGATTTCAGCTGATGAATTTCTGCACTGCATTGCCTCTTTCCCTGCAGCTGCTGGAAGATGCAAGCAAGACTTTCCTTCTTGTTCAGTGACAGGTTTCCTGTGTCAGGTGGTTTTGCTAAGCAGCGATGGCAGTTACTGACCCAGGCTTTTGCTCTCAAGGGGTCAGGATGTATGTGGCTTAGGTTGAGGAAATACAAGTGCCTGATGAGGGCTTGGTGAGAAGCAGTAGGAACGCACAATGCAGGATATGTTGCTGTCATTTCTCATAAGTTGCTGGCTGGGGGCTGAATGCGGCCAAGCGCAGAAATGTCATCCGCTGACATAAGTAGGTCTACTTTCCTTCTTGGGTTTGCCCAGACCGAGTTTACAAGAAAAACATCAATCTGGAAACTCTGCAAAGATGTTATTACAGAAAAACATCTTGAACCCAATCCCCTTTGCCCAATAAAAATACAGGCAGATTAACCAGACTAATGGTTGTATGGGAGCAAGAGGGAAATATGCGGTGAGGACCATAATGTGTTGGAATTATTTTTTTTTACCATAAATTTGGTATGAGGTAGGGGAAATTGAAAATTCTGCCCTTTATTAACATCTATTCTATTTGTTTCTTTGAACCTGAGGAGATGTACACATAGCCAATCCTGGCTAACTGTGAAACAAACCAAGATCTGGTTAGTGTTTGAACAGGACAGCACCAGCTGATTCCAGAACTGTAGTCTAGATCAGCATTTCTCAACTTTAGCAATTTTAAGATAGATGGAGTTCAATTCCCAGAATTCCCCAGCTGAAATGCTAGAGCTGAAGTCTTAAAGATACCAAGGTTGAGAATCACTGGTCTGGACCAAAAAGTTTAAAAAAATATTGGAAGAGGTACTGGCAAGCCTGTTCTGCATTATATCTAAGGAAACTTGAAGGGGATCACCAGGATGTCAAGCCTGGCTTGAAGGAGTATTTATTGCTACCTTTTTGTAGTGTAACAAATGGTGTTGTTGGTTACTTGTTCAGAGTTTTTTCTTTGCATGAATGTTTGAAACACCTGTCAAGTCAGTAAACCAAGTATGGTAGGAGTGCGGAAGTGTCTTTGGCAGTCTACAGTGATTCTAAGGGCTCCAAAATTTTCCCTCCGCATTATCTATTTACCCTGTTCATAACCCGTTCTCCCTGCTTCATAATCTTATTTCTTTTTCTTGCATTTTCTGTTTCTTCCTTGATCTATTCCTTCAGCTCCTTGCTGTGTTCTTGCTTTCTCTACGTGCTCCATGTTATGCCTCAAGCTGTTTGTTCCCTCTGCGCTCTGTTGTGCTTTTCGCCACTCTTCTTGACCTTTCCCATTATGCCCACTTCACCCTCTGCCCAAAAGGGCACCTGGACAAGGCTCATCACTGCTTTCTCAGTTCTCCTGGTCCATTTGCCTCCACGCTACTCTCCTGGCTGCATTTGCTCCTAGCCACGTTTGTGTCTTATGCCAGCGCTGTTACATTTAAACGTTTCTGGGCATATGTATTCATTTTATGTTTTTAACTTACATTAAATTGATTAACATGCCCCCCCCCCCAAGAAAAGTCCCACCTCACAGGCCTGTAAAAAAGCAAGTATGGCTTCCAATCCACAAAATTGTGTACCATTAAAATAAGAGCTTTGTCATGCTTATATGCCCTGTTCTTGAAAACAAGCTTTGGACTGCTTCATTGTTACCTGCTTGTTCCATTCATCCATGATTGTCAGGAGATTAATTAACAGTATATGAAACAGCAAATAAATGAGTTCTTAATAGCTGATGAAAGATACAATCTATCTTCACTTTCTCTATGCAAATGACCTTCTGGTGAAGCATCACTGCCCCTCTCCACCCCATTTTCCATTAAACTGATATTCACTTAAAGGCCTAAGTAGCAATTCCCTTAAAAAATAAATGCCTTTAGGATTGTAATACTGATGCCTCCCAATCTGTCACCTTCTGAGAAGAAAAGAATCCTTATATGGTTCCTCCTCTCCTCATCTTAAAAACTAGTTCAGGGAATGGAGGTCAACCATGTTGTTCAAGTTGATTTCCTTTGCTTTGTAGGAAGCATGACAATGAATAATGTTGCTAATGTAGGTAGATCTGGAAGAGAGTCAAATTACTTCTAGGCTGGCTATTTGCATATTATTGGCAAGGAGGAAACTATCACCAAAAAAGCAGATGTATATTTTAATAAAGTTTGCATATGCTTGTCTAAATGCAATAGAATTTCACCAGAGATAAAATATATCTCCTCATCTTCATGAGCACTACAGGTAGTCCTCAACTTGCAACTGTTTAGAGTTACAGTGGCACTGGAAAAAGTGATGTAAAACAGGTACTTGAACTTATGACCATTACAGCATCCCCACAGGCACATGAGAAAATCTGAGCGCTTGGCAACTGGTGTCAACTAAAAATAATAATAATACTCTTTGGTCTTTTTAGTTGCCAGCAGAAAGGGAGTGGGGGAAAGCAGTGCATTCCTTAAATGCTTCAGATAATCCCTTTGGCAACCAAAGCTTCTGACGTGCAAAATTATTACTGGAGAGCATGATTGATAACTCTTGGCTATGGATGTGTCTCATTGGAGAATATACATCCAGGGGGTGGGGGGAGACCAGGATCAAGGGTGAAATGAATGATGTGTCAGAGTTGGCTGCAACCCGAAAACGCCAACATGTCAACTCCTAATAAATCAATCTTTTTTCCTCTGAGAGAGGTGGCTAGAGACTTATGATTTGAATGGGGGTGCATGTTGGAGTCCTGACCATTGGCATGTATTTATGATGGTTGAAGTTCCTGAGATCATCTGATTGCCATTCCCAACCAGATTCCAACAAGCAAAGCAAAGCGGGGGGGGGGGGCATGTTTGGTGGATTGGATTTCCTTAACAATAGTGAATCATTTAATTGCTTAACAGTTGTGGCAAAAATCACAAAATTGGCCATAACTCACTTAACAATCATCTTGCTTAGCAACAGAAATTCTGGTCCCAGTTGTGGTTGCAAATCAAAGACTACCTACAAAATAAATAATTTAGTCATATATTATTTATTATTGTGTAAGCATGTCACACATGTGCATTGTGTTGCTATTAGCTAATAATCCCTTAGATGTTTCCTAATATTTACTGGCGTGTCATCTATTTTTGTCCTCATCTCACTTGCAGTTTAACAGCAATATTAGAACACTTAGGCAGCCCCATTTCACAATGTAAATGGTTTAATAATAGTAACAGTGTGTTGATAGAGAGCAAGAGGAATCCATGTGGCGAGTTGAAGTTGTCCATTCTGCAAGAATTATCTGGGAGACTAGTGGGGCATATGGAAGGAAGTTGGCAGAAGAGGGTGTCACTGAGATGGTGAAAGCAAATGAGAGTAGGCTGTCCTCGGGGAAGAGGAATTGGGACTGCTACTACTTTCCTAATCTCCTCCAAAGTACTACATAACAGTCCCTGGTCTCCAGGCTCTAGCTGAATGCCTGGTCTTCACCTAGTGTGACTCTCCCCCATTTACAATTTGATTATGGATGGCAGCAAAGACTAGTATGTATCGTTGAAACCTGGATGGAGGATGACTTTCATGGGGATATGCCCATCTGGGTTTCAGGTGTTACAGCAGGCATGACATGCTAGCAAGAGTGGCTTTGATCATCTGGGAAGTTAAGCAGAGAATCAAATCTCTTCTCTTACGTATAATTGATACAGAGCCTTGACTACTAGACTTCATGGTTGACCCCAGGCTTTTGGTGCCGAAGGACTTCAATTTATTTCCCCCAGGCTGGGAGGCAGCTTGTACATTTTTGTCCACCATGACAATCAAAGACTTATCCTAAGTGACCATGGACTTGACTCATGCAGGAGATTATATAATAGAAGTGATGGTGGGGGACGTATCTCTCAGCCCTTTGAGATTTTATTTATTTATTTATCACATTTACATAATCATGGTCGGATCATGCTCTAAATTCTGTAGAATTTTACTATGCCACAAGCCTTCACGGGAAAGAAGGCCCCATTCAATTAGTCTGTGCCCCAGGCACCTGATGGATCGTATGTGATTCCATGTGGCACTTGGGAAGTTTCTAGAAATGAAAGCATTTTATAGAGTGCTTGGTTGATCACGAAGATAGATGATTGACAGCAGTGTAGCCTACTGGTTAAGATTTAGACTGAATCCTACCAAGATAGAATGATAGTAAATCTGAAGTTATATTGAATCTGAATATATTACATCTTTAACCCTAGATGGGGCTGTTCTCCTCAGGACGAAAGTGGTTTACGGTTTAGGAATTCTTCTGACTCACAGCTCTTGCTTGCTATGGCCAAGAGAGATTTCAACACAATTCTATTTTTATGTGTCAATTGCAATCATTCCTCGATGAAGGAACTTTGTAGACAGTCCCTCATGTTCTTATTACTTCTCAGTTTGATTCTTTCAATTCAGTCTTTAAGGGACTGCCCGGAAGACTATTCAGATGAGGAATAGAGGGCTTGCTGGGAATCCTGCCTTTGAGATAAAGGGAACCCAGGCATGATGGCTCCTTTTGTATGGAATATCTTACCCCTTACTGTCTTACACCTTTCCCCCCAAAATATTTTGACTTTTAAAAGGTTATGAAACACATCTCTTCAAGAAGATTTTGGAGAATATAGTAGTTTAGCCTATCCCCAGAGATCGGCTAAGGTCTTTTTTTTTCTATTTCAGTTACTCTGAAGTTGTAAATGTGAACTTTATTGCATTCATTTATTTACCGGTACTTATCCTCTCACTGATTTGAAATATATACTACCCATTTGCCAAATCAGCCTTCGATATTCATTGAGAGATTACTGATGGGCGCTGCCTTTGTTTTAGGCAGGATGATGAGAAATTCATAGCTTTAGTAATTCACCTGTCAATCAGCATCCAATCTGATTTTGCCTGTCTCATCAAACCGGACAATATATTTTAATAGTCAGGTAATACCATCATGAGCATCAGAACAGAATTTCATTATCATTGGCCAGATATCCCTAGGGCCATTTGAAGCAAATTGATTGTACAGTGGTGTACAATCGATAGTACATGCATACATCCATGTCAGAGTTATGTCGGAATTCCTATGAAGAATTGATTAATCATTCAGGTGCAACAGTGACAAATAATGGAATGTTTTAAGAATAGCCATACTGAAGAGGCTTGCAATAAAGATCCTCTTACCCTGTTTCTCCAACAATACGGCCTCCCCCAATAGGAAGTCCCAGCATGTTTTATAGGCATGAAATGAAATTAAGCCCCTCCCCCCAAATTAAGGCCTATATTAAAACATGCAAAATGGGGGGGAATGGTGGGGGTCTTGCTGTTAGGAAATACTTTTGTTGCACACCCGGATATGGTGCTGCCTGCGTTGACCCCGATACGAAGTGCTCCACCAATGCCGAGGTCAACATCCAACCTGTCACCACCTGCCCGCCCGAAGATGCAAGGGGGGGAATTAAGTCACCCCCGAAAAGACGACCCAGCCATTTTTTCGGGGCTCAAAAAAAAAAAAGACCCGGCCTTATTATATGAGAAACACGGTAGTAAGTATAGAAGGAAGCGAGGGTCTCACTAATTAAATGTATTTAACTCTGTGGTTCTGTGAAGCATTATTAAAAGCTTTAAGTGCACAGTTAATTTAACTGTTTTAATATAACACAATTATAATTTTTATGTCCAGAGCGGACTAGGTCTTGTTTTGCAGGTGGGTTGATTACCCACATTTATTTCCTGTGGTGGGTTCTAAGGCTTTGAAATTTTCTGTTTCTTTTCCTTTATTAAAGGAGAGTGAAGACTTGGAGAGACAGAATGCTGCTTTGCGGCGAGAAATCAAACACCTAACAGAGGAACTGAAACACTTTTCCACAGTGTTGAATTCCCATGAGACTCACTGCTCAATTCTCCAGACACAACCCACGGTGCCTTCAGAAGTGCTTTTTACCCCACTTGCTTTTCCTCAAAGCCATATCAGCTCCTCTTGTTTCCCACACTGATATCAACAGTAGGACTGAAAAAAAGCTTGGATTCCATGCCTAGAACAATGAGAGGAGGGGGTTTCTCCCTAGGACAGCTCAGAATATCCTCATGTCTCTGTTTAGCATAATGAGGAGTCAAGATGTCTTGGATCCGGCCTCGGTTGCATATCAGGATACAAAAGAAGTGTTTCTGCAAAGGGCTTGCTTTGGGGAATGAGATCCAGAGAATAAGATAACCACATATTTCTGTTACTTGCACTGAAGTTCTGCATATTGAAGTGTGTTCTTTTGCAAAACGCGTATTCTACTGACTTTAAAAATGCAACTCTCAGGAAGTGACTAAAATTAATTCATTATTTTCCTAAATAAAATTTCTTTTTTTTAAAAAAACATTTTAAAGTCTGATTTTTGCTTTCATTTCTATCAATTCCTCCCCTACCCCATTCCAAACCCTTAATCAATGGACAAGAAAAACTTTAGGAATTGTAGAAGTCTGTGAGCCAAACATTGGTTGCATTAGCACAGCACAACAAATCACACAGCCACATTTTAGCTTTGTGTGTCCTGTAGTCCTAGCTTTGCAGTTATTGAATTAATTCTGAAAATGATTCACCATGGATGACTTGTATGACTGCAGCCACAAGATTAAACTGATCATATTTTATTTTTATTTATATCCTACCTTTATTGTATTTTTATTTAAAAAACTCAAGGCGGTGAACATATCTAATACCCCTTCCAGTTTCCCCACAACAACCTTGTGAGGTAAGCTTGTCTGAAACAGTATGACTGGCCCAAGGTCATCCAACTGGCTTTCATGGCTAAGGTGGGACTAGAATTCACAGTTTCTAGCCTGATGCCTTAATTATTAGATTGGGTCTCATAATTAGCAGGTGCGCCTATTTTTTCTTTACTCAATGTTAGCTATCAATGTAAGGATAGGGATAGAGAGCAAGCAGGAGTTGAGAAAGAAATATTAATTTGTTCTTTTCCTCGTCTACATTTAGAACTCCATCGGTATCCTGTTAAGATACTTAATTTAATAGCTGGAACCGTAAAGTACATAACAGGCCATAACACACAATTGTAGTTGGTAGGAGAGTGCAGGCAATCTATCCGAGGCAATCTACATTACAATTGGTTGCTGGGTGTAAAGGGGGAGTTTCCCCTTTTTCCTGCCTTTTTCTTCTGTGCACTGTATGCTGTTCTGTGATTTACCTGATGATTTACCTCATAATGTAGTGATGTGCCTATCTTGTTTGCTGTAAATAGAAATGTAAAATATATTTATATAAAACTACCAATACAAGTTCGCGTCAGCTTCTCTGACTCCATTTGGACACCGGCTATGCAACAATAGAAAATACAGGGTCATAAAAGCTACTACTCATATAATACATAAAAATGCAAATTGTATGGTCCTTTAATTGATTTGGAAGGACAGTTTAACATCTACATATGGTAACACTATGATGCAGGACTTAGAAATAACATCCATTTATGCTGTTACATAAAAGCACCAGAACTATAATGTTTTCCCTAACTGACTTCTAGTCCCTTTAACGTATTATCAGATTTGACGGGTTCTTGTGTTCAGTGGTAGCATGCATAATCAGCACTGTGTATAAGGCCTCTGTGTTTATTAAAATTAAAAATTAAATTCTGGATGGATAGTTTTGTTTCCATTGTGTTTAGCTGATCTTGCCATTCTCAGGAAAGCTTAGAAGCTTGGGTGATTCTGAATTGCTACACATAATAACACGAACACATTTTTCTTTCAAAAATTTTGATAAACAAGGGAACATGTTGTCCTTGTTTTGAAGAACATATTCCACTGTTATACAAATATCTGTTACCATCAGGGGTTTATTTCCAGTGATATGAAAATAATTTGTCCAAAAATATAGGAACAAATGCTAATGGAAAACCCCATGAAATACCCCCTGGTTTGGGGGTTTTGGGCTTATTTTAATCGTTGGGGAATTATATAAAAGGATGCCCAGTAAAAAGTCCAGATAGATAGCTTACCAGGTGCTGGTTATTTTGAGTTCCTTTCTTATAGTTCTATCTCTTACCAGGTGCTGGTTATTTTGAGTTCCTTTCTTATAGTTCTATCTCTGGTCTGTGTAATCACTTCTCAAAATTCTTTCTTCACAGTTTGCTGCTTTCCCCCTTGAGAGAGAGCCATTATTTTCCCAAGGTCAATTCTAAATTCCTTTACAATATCAGGCAATAACAAATAGTGACTGCAGTTATCTTACTCGATGGCATTGGATATCAGAATTATGGAATTTGTTTGGGTTAATTATTTCAACACAAGAGTATTAGACAATGGAAAAACTTGAATAACAAAGACACATTTAAGAAGACAAAGTCTCCTAATTTATTTGACATTCATCATACACAAGGAGGTGTCCCCCACAATCCATGATTTTGAAAAACGATTGAGTTGTCATTTACTCCATCTTTCTGAAAGAATAAGGTTAAATCAGTCACAAGAAAAAAGGAGAAATGATAGTTTTAATATTTATACTATACAGGTGAAACTCCAAAAATTAGAATATCGTGCAAAAGTTCATTTATTTCAGTAATGCAATTTAAAAGGTGAAACTAATATATGAGATAGACTCATTACATGCAAACCAAGATAGTTCAAGCCATGATGTATCATAATTGAGATGATTATGGCTTACACCTCATGAAAACCCCAAATCCACAATCTCAGAAAATTAGAATATTGTGAAAAGGTTCAATATTCTAGGCTCAAAGTGTCCCACTCTAATCAGCTAATTAAGCCATAACTCCTGCAAAGGGTTCTTGAGCCTTTAAGTCAGGGGTGTCCAACCTTGGCAACGTTAAGACTTGTGGACTTCAACTCCCAGAATTCCTCAGCAAGCTTTGCTGGCTGAGGAATTCTGGGAGTTGAAGTCCACAAGTCTTA